GGACTGATGTGGTGGGCTGTGCGCCACTGCTTTTCCGCAGATCACTCGGGCCTAATAAAAGATAACATGGCTGGCTAAGGTCAGGGCTGGCAAAATGAAAAAGAATGGGAGGCCTCTCAGGGGTGGTTTGAGTCTTGGTTCAGTTCTTCTCCGTGGCAAGCCACCCTACTATCAGGACTCATAGGGCCCCTTGTTCTCCTGATTTTAATTTTAACCTTTGGCCCTTGCATTGTTCACAAACTTGTACAGTTTATGAAACAGAGATTGGGCACCGTTGAATTAATGGTCCAACGGTCCCAATATAAAGCCTTAAACGTTTGTAAAACCAATAAAATGTCAGTCCAAAACCATGATTGGGTTTTTCTTTTTTTTTTTTATTTTTTGACAGGCAGAGTGGACAGTGAGAGAGAGAGACAGAAAGGTCTTCCCTTGCCGTTGGTTCACCCTCCAATGGCCGCCACGGTCAGCGCACTGCAGCCGGCGCACCGCGCTGATCCGATGGCAGGAGCCAGGTACTTCTCCTGGTCTCCCATGGGTGCAGGGCCCAAGTACTTGGGCCATCCTCCACTGCACTCCCTGGCCACAGCAGAGAGCTGGCCTGGAAGAGGAGCAACCGGGACAGAATCCAGCGCCCCAACTGGGGCTAGAACCCGGGATGCCGGCGCCGCAAGGCGGATTAGCCTAGTGAGCCGCGGCGCCGGCCGATTGGGTTTTTCAAACATGTACAAAAACAAGGAGGGATGAAGAGCCAAAGTGACTCCATTTTAAAACAATAAAAAAGCAGCCTCCGTTTCCTATAGCAGACCCGAGTCTTTGTAAAAGCAGGCATTCAGGCATTCCGGAGATATCAAAGCTTACCAGGGACAGCTAGCTCGGTAGACCTAGGACAGCACAGTAGAGATTGCTAAACAAAGTAACTCCCTGTACCCAAAGCTCCTGTGCTGTAAGCCCCCGCTGTAACTCCCTGTGCCCAAAGCTTCCATACTGTATGTAACTCTTTTTTCCTGCTGATGTAGCCCTTTTTTCCTTTAAAAACTCCCAAACAAAGACCGGGACCTCACTCCTTCCTCCACTGTGTGGGTTGGATGGATGGCATCCCTGTCGCGGCTTGTACTCCTGAATAAACCTTGCTTGTGCAGTTCAGTGTGATCGACTCTCTGGGGGTCTCTGCGGGGATCTAACTATCTGGGCACAACACCCCCACCCCTGCAATCTGACACTAGGAACACTTACTAGTCACCCAAGTTAACAACAAAAACTGTGAAAGAAAAATCAAGAAGACACAGTATGCTAATATTTCTAACAGATAATGCTAATGATATGAACTACAGTATACTAATCACTAAAACCAGTTGTATCCAAATTAAGAATTAAAAGTTAGAAAACACACAGAATGCAAAAAATGGTAAAGTGAAACAACAAATATCTTAACTATGGTAACAATTCTAATCAGTAAGTCTTAAAATGATCTTATCTAAATCAAAGGATGAAAAATGAGAAAAAAATCAAAAACATGGGGGAGACACAGCAAGAATGCTAGATGAAAACAGCATAAAATACATTTAGCCAGTAACAATAAAAACAAAAAAGAAAATAAAAAACATTTAAGAAAAATAAATACACAAGTATACAAAGTAGAAATAGGCAGCGGAGAGAAATTGAGAAAATAGAAAAATAATAAAACAAGTAGAAAAAAAAGAGAAAAGAACCAATGTAGTAAAAAGAACAAAGAGATCAGACAGACAAAACAGCGATACAAACGACAAGATGAGAAAACCAGTAATGTCATCCAAGTCCTTCAGGCTGCCTCCACAGAGCTTCCTGGGCCAACTGAACAAGAACTGAGGCCAAGCCAGGGGACTGTTAAGGCAGTCGGAATGACATAACAATGGCTCCCCTGATGTCAGAGCAAGATACAGACCAATCACAGCTGGGGATACACATGGTGGTTTTCTCAAGAAACTTTCTACCTTGGTTAAAGTGAAAGGACCCCAAAATTTTTTTGCTTAAGTTGGTGATAGCAATTGATATTTAGGTTTTGATAAATTAACACCTGAAGGCTGTTTCAATGGACTTTTCATTTCTAGTTTTAAACTTTGTAAATAACTCTTGGCTTTGGTAGGACTCCTCAAGCCTACACTCAGAATATCCAACATGATAGGTCTCAACACGTTGGTACCACTTCACTGGCATAATGACAATACAACAAAATATTATGTTTGCCAAGTCACCATCAGGTGCATGGTTCATATCCATAGAGCTGAGAGGGAGGTTTCTTTCATCGTTTACCCTGAAGTTCATCATCAGATTGCTCCTCAGTAACCCTGGAAAGCTGCACAGTAGGGGGCTGATGTAGTCCAGTGCAAACAGCAAAGTGAGAGCAAACTGAAATCTATAGCCTCCAAAACTGCTTCAAATCATAAGGAGGAAGAGAAGACATTCCAGGATATTCCAGTCCTTTGGGTTACCGTAACAAGACCCTGACCTGGGTGACTGAAAAAGAACAGGAATTCATTTTTCACTGTTTTGGAAGTTTGGAAGTCTAGATCAAGGCCCAAGAGATTTACGATCTGGGAAGGGTGCACTCTCTGCTTCTAAGATGGTACCTTCTTAAAGAAAAAAAACACTGATAAGGAAATGAAAGGCTGGTGGCCTAGTGTGGGCCATTCAGCCCAGGTGTAGGTGTTGAAATGTTGCACAATTTTGTCCAATACCCGGATGCTGCTTCCAGAAAAATACGGTGCCTTCTTAAGGTTCCTCATGAGGAATGGCCTTCTTAAGCTGTCTTCACCTTATAGAAAGTCCCCCATCCTGGGGCTGCTGTTGTGGGTGGGGTAAGCCACCACCTGTGAAGCCAGCATCCCATATGGGTGCCGGTCCTAGTTGTAAGGGTGTTGGTGGTAGGGGGAAGAGGACATAGAATTACTTACATAGCTGTTCCATAGGGGAAATACAAATCTCCATAGAGAGGCTCCTTTAAGGAGCTGAAATTCTATGAACAATTGTTCAATGAGGCTACAGCCATCTACAAAGAGCACGGGCTTCAGCATCATATCTGGTTAAACCCAGCCCTGTCACAGCTGCTTTAAACTAGGCAAGTTTCTGAATTTCTCTGAGCCATTCTTCTGTAAAATAGAGACAACAGCACCCACCTTGTATGGGATTCAGTCATCTAAATCACACAGTGGCAAATGTGGCACTCAATAAAATCAGCTGTGGGGACCACTATTCAGAAAAATGTATCTAAATCCTCCATTCTTAAAGAAAACTCTAAAAATATAAATAAAGCTTATTTAAGTTTTATATTTTAAGTCACTTAAAAACCTATTTTTCTTCACACTTTCCCCCATATTAAACTATTCCAGTCATTGTCAGGCTTTTTCTGTTGTTTCAATATACATATATAAGTACTGATCCTTTCATTTTCTATTTTCACCCTCATTTCCACTCCCCTTTTTCATTTCCTCTTGGTTCATGTCCATTAAACAACTCAGATGTCTTATACACCTAACAAGTACCAGGGTTCTAATCCTGTTTTTGAATTAACTCATTTGACACACTCTTCTCCATCAGGATGGTTCTACTAAAACCATCTAAAGTTTTTCATTTTCCCCAAATTTGAAAGCTACATGTAACTGTCCAACTTCCCCTTCCTGTAATGTTTCATAAACTTTTCATTGTTAAGGTGCTAAATTTAGCATGACATCTGATAATTAAGGAAAATGAGGACCAAGAACTTTGACAAAGAGAGGACCACAGGGAAGTAACTGAGAATCCTAAGAGTACATGATCTTGACTTATGAGAGGGTCTGTTACGAGAGTAAATATGAAAGAAACAGGCTTCTAATTCATGAACAGAGGATGTCTTTCCATTTCCATGTGTCTTTGATGATTTATTTCATCAGCACTTTATACCTTTATTGTGATCTTTCACTTATTTGGTTAAATTTATTACTAAATAATTTTTGTAGCTATTGTAAATTTAGGCTTTTTTCCCGTTTCATACTTTTTTATTTTATTTTATTTATTTACTTTCTTTTTGACAGGCAGAGTGGACAGAGAAAGAGAAAGGTCTTCCTTTTTCCGTTGGTTCACCCCCCAGTGGCTGTTGCGGCCAGCGCACTGCAGACAGCTCACCGCACTGATCCAAAGCAAGGAGCCTGGTGCTTCTCCTCGTCTCCCCTGAGGGTGCAGGGCCCTCCACTGCATTCCTGGGCCATAGCAGAGAGCTGGACAGGAAGAGGAGCAACCGAGACAGAATCCGGTGCCCTGACCGGAACTAGAACCCTGTGTGCCAGTGCCGCAGGCAGAGGATTAGCCTATTGAGCCGCGGCACTGGCCACTTTATTTTATTTAAGATATGCAGACTTCATGTATTTCATATACAGATTCAGGAAGGTGATGATACTTTCCACTGTACTCTCCATCCTGCTCGTATTCCCACCCTTTTTCCTCTTCCCTCTACTATCCCCATTCTTATTTTTTACAAAGATCTTAAACTTAACTTTACAGAGGATCATTATTAGTGTGTAATTGTTTTGTACATTGATTTTGTATCCTGCGACTTACTGGTTTATCACTCCCAACATTTTTACTGCAGTGTTTTAAGTTTTTCTGTCTAAAATCATGTCTTCTGGAAAAAGATATTTTGACTTCCTCCTTCCCAATTTTCATCCTTTAATTCTTTACTTTGCCTGAGTACTCTTGTGAGTACTTGAGATACTATATTGACTAAGAATGGTTTATGTGGAGTTCTTTTCTTGTTCAACACTCAGGAGAAATGTTTTCAGGTTTTTCCCATTCAGTATGGTATTATCTATTGTTTTATCATATAGCTTTGATAATTTTAAGCTATGTTTCCTCTGTACCTTGTTAGTTCCAATTTTTTTTATCATGAAGGGATGTTGAATCTTCTGATGGAAGCATCCACTGCATCTATTGAGATGTGCATGTGTTTTATGTTGTTCTTTCTGCTGATGTGATTTCATTGATTTTTATAGATGTTGAACCACACTTGCATGCCTGTGATAAAACCCACTTCATCATATTACATGTTGTAGATATATATATATGTACATATAACCTACATATGTGTATCTGTGATACCTTTTGGATTATTGTTGCATTCATCATGTTTCCAGAGCCTTCACAGCCTAGAAAGTGTTTGAAATAAGAAAACTCGAACTCACTACCCATGCCTTTTCAATCCCAAAAAGTCCCAAACATTTTCCCAAGGTCACAGAATGACAGACTGTACTAAGGAAAATCTTCAAAACCTAATTGCAGGTCTGGCACTGTGGTGTGGTAGGGTAGGCCTCCACCTGCAGCACTGGCATCCCATATGGGCACCAGTTCATGTCCCAGTTGCTCCTTTTCTGATCCAGCTCCCTGCTATCACCTGAAAAGGCAGTAGAAGGTGGCCCAAGTGCTTGGGCCCCTGCACTCATGTGGCCACTTGGGGAGTGAAGCAGTGGATAGAAAAGCTTTCTCTCTGTCATTCCCACTCTTTGTCTTTAACTCTGTCTCTCAATTAAATAAATATTCAAAAAAACCCACTATTTCCAATGACAATAAATCTTTCTGCACAGATATAACAATGTTAAATTCCTTCTGTATGGATAAGAATAAGTTGCATGGTCTAGTTTTGTATTCATTCAATAATTTTTTCCATACATTGCATACTGAACCATTGAAACTTCATCAATAATTGGAAATTTAAATCAAATGAATAGGGTCTCCTATAAATTTCATCAAGATTTTTCTAAAGCCATGAGAACAAGCATCCTGACAAAAGGAACTAAAAATGTATTCCAAAATTTTGCTGGAAAGGAATCATGCTTTCCTTGGTTGTTTCTACACAATAAGCAGTAGCTTTCTGCATGTTCTTATATATTCGAATCCTCTCTGATAGGACTGCTGGCCAGAATCAGTAAAGTGTCATCAGGTTTGCATATTTGGTTTATTACATGCTGTCTTTCTGTGACCTTGGGAAATGGCTTCAAGTTTCTGGGATTGAAAAAGCATAGGTAGTGAGTTCAAGCATTCTTATTTCAACCACTGTCTAGGCTGAGAGGCTCTGGAAATGTTACTAAGTCTTAGTTTGGTTGTACTGTTTGTGCAATTCTTCAAGCCTAAAATGATTTCTTCTAAAAAGTTTAGAAGCAGAGATTTTTTTTATGAGTCAATATACACGTGAATGAACCCTCACGTCATCAGATTGTTTTGTGTGCTCATTTAAAAAAAAATACCTATTTTCAACTTTGTGCAATTTAAAGGATGGAATGTTCTAAGTTTAGAGTCTGTTTATCATAAAAGGCATGACTTTTGTTTGTTCAAACGAGGGAAATAATCTTTGTAGCTAATCTCAGGTGACACCAAGTTGGCATTATATTTCTTGATAAATTCAGAGCTCCTTCAATTTCCTGATTAGTAGTGTATTTATAGTGAACGGCACACAGTTGAATGCTTCAGAAGATTTATCTACTTATCTGAAAGGTGGAGTTACAGAGAGGGAGAAGCAGAAAGAGAAGCTTTCTATCAGCTGGTTCACTCCCCAAATGGCTGCAATGGCCAGGGATGGGCCAGGCTGAAGCCAGAAGCCAGGAACTTCATGTGGGTGTCCCACATGGGTGCAGGGGCCCAAGAACTTGTGGCCACTTCCATCGCCCTCCTAGATGCATTAGCAGTGAGCCAGATCAGAAGTGGAGCAGCCGGGACTTGAACTGCCACCAGTTGGGAGGCTGGCATTCCAGATGGTGACTTAACTCACTGCATCACAGCACCAGCGCCACACAGTTGAATTTTTAATGTTATGCTTACCTGGTAACATCATGTCTTTCTTCAGGTAAGGGAAATCCCTCTTTTCACAAGGACAATTGCATAAAGAAGTTGACAGGTGTATCTGTTGTCTTCTTTTCCAGAGTGTTTGGTTATCTTTGCAAGAACTCCTTTTCTTTCTCAGAAACAAACATCTGAGGAGTTACTGAGATGAACATTCTATTTCTTTATGTGTTAATGGTTTCTTATCATTGGAGGAAGTCTTCATTGATTTTTCTCATCAGTACAATCCCAGACATTCACCTAAAAATCCACCCCAGCAGTTCTTTTGTTCTTTATGGTGAGAGCTTTTGTGTTTAGATAACTAAAATTTGAGGGGTTCCAGCGCTGTGGTGTAATGGGTAAAGCTGTTGCGTGGAATGCTAGCATCTCATGTGAGTGCTGGTTCAAGTCCTGGCTGCTCCACTTCGATCCAGCTCCCTGCTATGGCCTGTAAAAGCAGTAGAAGATGGCCCAAGTCCTTGGGCCCTTGTACCCACGTGGAAGACCAGGAGGAGTCTCCTGGCTCCTGGCTTTGAATCGGCGCAGCTCCAGCTGTTGTGGCCAACTGGGAAGTGATCCAGCAGATGGAATACCCTCTCTCTCTCTCTCTGCCTCTGCTTCTCTCTCTGTGTAACTCTTGACTTTAAATAAAGATTAAAAAATTAACATTTTGAGCTATGTTTTACTTTTGCCCAATAATTTTATTGAAAAGTGCTTTGAAAAAAAAGTATTTTGAGAAATAAAAAATAAAACTATCCATGAAAAAACTTATCCTTACTATATTACAGCTATTTTTACTATATTATGCAACTATGATTTTAATGTTTTAATAGTAAAACATGCATTAGGATTTTTGCATATTTTTCTTTCCTACAAGTTTAGTTACTTCAATTTAATTCATGCAGATGATATTTATCCTATAGTAGAATGGAGAAAAAGTATATAGATAAAAATGCAAACGTGCAAATTTTCAACTTCAAATATGTAAATAATTTCCTTTTCAAGATTGGTGTTTATTTGAGAGGTACAGTAACAGAAGAAGAGACTGAGAGAAAAGTCTTCCATCTTCTGGGTCGCTCCCCAAATGGCTGCTACAGCCAGAGCTGAGCTGATTGGAAACCAGGAGCCAAGAGCCTCCTTGGGGTCTCCCACATGGGTGCAGGGGCCTAAGCACTTGGGCCAACTTTCATGGGTTTTCCTGGGCATAGCAGAGAGCTGGATTGGAAGAGATGCAGCCAGGTCGAACTGCTGCCCATATGGGACGTGGGTGCTGCAGGTGCTGGCTTAGCCCATTACACTACTGCACTGGCCCCAGTAATTCCTTTTGTAAGTTAAATGTATCATATTTGTTAGATGCTCTTTACACACACACACACTCACTCACACACTCACACTCAAAAATTTGTAACCAAAAAATCTTATTTGTATTTTATGTTTGGAAAATACAGCAAGTCGATCTGCAAAGACACTTAAGCAGGTCAAGGGTACACAATAATGAGACATTAGGATGACTTTATGGAGAAGGTGATCTGCATGAATGAGAGCCATCATAATAAAACCACCTTCTGCAATTTTGGTCAAAGCTTTCTTATTTTCTTGCTTAGTCTAATAAGGAATGAAATTGATAACAAATAGATGGTCTGTTTCATAGTATTACATACATTTTACTAACACCAGATGTGTTGGAAGTGATATTTGTAGGAGAAACAAGGTTGAGACTTCTACACATAAATTACGATAATTGTTGAATCTTAAAAGGTACTGATGATTTTGGAAGAGAATTTTGGAAGGAGTAGATAAGCACCAGTGATGATCTAGTTACACAGATTAATTCTCAGAAGTTGTGCGCCTTATAAAAACTACAGGATAAATGAAACATCATTAAGATTTGTAGTTCTATTTAGTCCCATTCAAAAAGTTTTGCTTTTGTGGCCTGGGATTTTGGAGTTTTCCTCCTACATTGTCTCCTAGGAGTTTTACAATTTCTATTCCTAGAGTTAGTCATTTTGAGTTGTTGTTGTGTATGGTAGAATGATCCAATTCCATTCTTTTGCTTATAGAAATCCAGTTTATCCATAACTATTATTTTAAAAGATTTATTTTATCCTTTTGAAAGGCAGAGTTAGAGGAAGAGACAGAGACCTTCCATCTGCTGGTTCACTCCCCAAATGGATGCAATGGCCAGAGCTGGGCCAGACCGGAGACAGGAGCCAGGAGCTACTACCAGGTCTCCCATGTGAGTGCTGGGGCACAAGTACTTGTTCCATCTTCAACTGATTTCCGGAAATGGAGCAGCTTGGACTCTAACCAGTGACCATACGGGATGCCATCATTCTAGGCAGCAGCTCAACTTGTTATGCCACAATGCCGGCCCCCATTTATTTATTTTTTAAGAAGTTGAAAATTTTATTTTGCTGCAGATTTGTTGCTTCACTGTATGAAATACCATTAGCAAAGACAGCACATTGGAAAGTTAATATGGTATTGTTCTCTGATACTGTAAAACTAGCAAAATCCTTTCTCTGCTTCCACCTGTTTTCTTTTTTTAAGGGAGTTTATGGGGAGAAACCCAACAGACTGGAGAGAAGGGACAGAGAAGGAAAAAGGCAGAAAGAAAGTGTAAGAGAGAGACAGAGATCAGGAGATGGAGAGGAAGAGAGAGCTGCATGCTCAGGAATAGCTCCCTTTAACACGTTGCCAGGGGGTGGGCAGGGAAGTAGAAGCCTCGAATCCCATTAGGATGTGGGTGGGGCTGACATTGATGTTTGGACCATGTGGCCACCTGGCTTCCTGCCATGGCGGCGGGGTTGGGGCATAGGATGGTGTCAGGGTGTAGATCGCACAGTAGATAAGACTGCATCATTTTACTAACATTCCCCCCGTTTGGTTTTTATGAAGCAGGAGTTTTATGGGATTACATTAGCCCCAAAAGTCCAGGAGGGGTAGAGGGACGATGATCTGTCTTAAGCTACTTCCTGCTGACATGGGCGACGAGGTACTCTTCTCTGGGATGGGGCAATGTCTCAAGCCGCTGTCTCCCGGATGGGGAGCCAAGTCTATCCCTGTAGCAGCATTTGGTTGACCAGCTGGTTGCTGAAGGCCCTGGTTCGTTCCATTATCAATAAGTAAATACAATAGTATAAAAGACAGGGTGAGACTAGCAACCAATGATCTTAAGAGTGGCATTAACCCAGTAATGAGAGGATTTCATAGAGGAGGGGAAATGTTTCAGTTTCATGAGCAGAAAATCTGAGATATAAAACTGTGGATGATAAGACTTAAAATAGGCATGTTGAAAATTATAAGCTCATTAACCAACAGGAGGCACTTATTTACTTCGCACAGTAGTTTCAAAAGCAGCTGAAGGATTTTACAAAACACTTAATCCTTTAGCCCCTGGACCTTTCTCATTAAGATAATCATCACATCTAGTAACACAAGATCATTAGACTTTTTAGCTTTCAGACATTTGTATCAGTAGCATTTTATATTATAAAAACTTAAAATGTAACACCACTTCACATCTTGACAGTACTTCTAACATAATCCAAATAGCCTGATTAGTTGGTGTCTCTGTGTCTTTGACAGTTTCCAGGGGCCCATCTGGAAATTGTCAAAGTCTAGATTTTTGAAATTTTGTTTTTTTGAATGCCTGTCAAGGATGCCAAGAAGGCTCAAAATCCAAAATATCTCGTTTAAATAGGATCCCTTAACATCGTGACATAATATAGACCAAATTTGATGAGTTACAAGGTTAGTATTCAAATGTTTTTGAATAAGCATATATTTAATAACCCATAGCTCTTAATAAAAAACTCATCTGTTTTGAAACAATTAGAATTTAACAGAGACATTAAGAGAACATAATAGACTAGTTTAACTGCTTTATCAGAGGTTCAGATTCTATGTCTTAGGAAAATAATAGCTTTTGTGTCCAAAATTTCTTTCATAACATTCTGTGACTTCCACATACCCTCTTCAACTTACTTGAAATGTTACATCATTTCCATTCCAGTCTAGAGTAAGCTAGGCATCAGGATGAAGTAATTTTTTTTGTCTTTTGAACTGCTGCTTTTATTGTTATTCTAAAGAAAATTTTCTACAAAATTCACAGACATAAGGATAAAGCTGATAAAATTATAACTATGAGGAAAAAGAATTATTAATGGTGACTCAATATTCTGAGTTACAAAATTGCATAACTTTAACAGGTATTTGTAATATGCTGATTCCCACTGTCCCAGCACCATTTATCTGTTGCTCTGCATTGGCTTTATCTGTTGCTTTCTCATTGGATTATCATGTTACCGTAGCTACTGTAGGTGACTAGCTAGTGTTCCTAGTGTCCCAGTACACTAGGCACAAGAGATATCCTGACGACGAAAGGCGTCAGATCCTCCCACACTGAGAAGGAGGTGTTCCGTGGATATGAGGTCCTCGGGATCATTGGCAAGGGCAGTTTTGGGCAGGTGAAGCTGGCCCTCCATCTGGAGAGCAGAACCAAGGGGGCTGTGGAGATCACTGCCAGAGGTGACGGGGATTCTTCCAAGTTCCCGCAAGCTTGGGTAGCAGCAGAAATTATGCATTCTCTGCATCACCCTAACATTATAAAGCTGTTACAGGTAGACTACACAGCAGATAGAGCCTGTCTTTTCATTGGGTATTTTAGCGGTGTGGGGGTGGACCTTGAAAAGTATGTCGAGGTGTGCAGCCACCTTCATGAAGGAGAAGCATGTTGGTACTTCATTCAGACATTAGTAGCAGTGGAGTACTACCACATGCAACACATTGTTCACAGAGACTTAAAATTGGAAAATCTCCTTCTGGACTGACCTATTAAGCTAATTGACTTTGGCTTTAGCCAAAAACTGACTGAAGGCCAACAACTAAAGTCCTTGTGTGGGACACTTGAATATTACACCCCAGAAGAATTCCTAGATAAGGAGTTTGATGGGTATAAAGCTGACATGTGGAGCCTGGGCCTGGTCCTGTACACCATAGCAACAGGTGGCTGCCCTTTGAAGGGGAGAGCTTTGGGCACTTGAAGGAAGCGATCCTGGCTGGCTCGTAACCTAATCCCCTCCTATGTAAGTGGGGAACTGGAGAGATGCTGGATTGGTTAATGACTTTTGACCCTGCTGAGAGGCCCACAGTGGCAGATGCTATGGGCCACAAGTGGCTCAGCATGGAGCAGAAAAAGGGCCCAAAGCAAGTGACATCACACTTTTCAGTCTCTGAGTTCTCCCGAGAACCAGGAAATCGATGAAGCTGTGGAGAACCTGGTGTCTCTGGAGGGCCTTAAAGAACAGGACTGCCCCATTCCACCCCCTCCCCCATGCAATGCTGGGGAAAATACCAGCCAAAGGCTTACAGCAGAGATGTAGAAAATCAAACTGACATGGGGATCCTGAAAGTGAGAAATACCTGCCAGGCCTTGTCTTCCAGCTGGGCTGTGAGGAGGAGGATGGCTGCTTGTCCCCTGCTCTGAGCTGTGGGAAATCCCAGCCAAAGACTTACAGCACACAAGGGGAAACGAAATTGACATGGGGTTCCTAGCTCCTTCCAAAATTGAAGGTCAGCAATACCTGTCAGTCCTTGTCTTCCAGCTGGGCCGTGAGGAAGAGGATGGCTGCTTGTCCCCTGTGCTGGGCTGTGGGAAATCCCAGGAGGGCCTCAGTGGAGCAGCAAGAACTGAGCTCACTCAAGGGGAGCTTCTAGGATCTGCTCAGTACGCTGAGGCTCAAAACTACCTGTGGAGCTGGGCTTCCAGCTGATCCATAAAGTAGTGTCCTTGACGCCCAGCTTCAGGCCAGTGCTGTGTCCCCAGTGCTGCCTGAAGGTGACCAGTCATCAGGGCTAAATGCCTGCCCTGGAGCCCACAGGATGGACAGTTCCCCACCTGGTCTGATGAGGATCCACACTTCCTGGCCAGTCCTCAGGTACAAGAGCCCCGTGACCTCTGTGTCCAGTCTCAACACCAGCAGCAGTGAGGCCTGCAGTTCAGATAGTCTTCATCCTGGCATAAGGAGGAGGACCTACACTCCCAGGCTTCAGGCACAACAGCCCTGTGTCCTCCACTCTCAGCACCAGCAGCAGTGAGGCTGACAGGACAGATGGTCCCCAACCTGCTGTGAGGAGGAAGACCTACATTCCCTGGCCAGTTCTCAGGTACAACAGCCCTGTGTCCTCCAAGTTGGAAATATTGCTGACTTAAAAGGCAAATTTGAAACTGAGGACTGTTGGTGAACAATTGTGTGCTGGCACCCAGGATACTGATTGAACCTTCTGCTTGTCGACAGCAGGACACGAAGGCTCAGTGTCTGCAGAAGCAGTGTCCCCATCTCTTATTGGGGCTTTGGGGACAGCACGTCTTCATCTGAGGATGTCAGAAGAGAACCTCGAAAAGCTGATGGACACGCGGATGCAGAGGGCCTGAAATTGCTGACTACAAGTCAGAAAACGACTCCTGAATCAAAGGTTTTAGAAAATAAAGTTTCCTCAGAACAATTAAAAGCCTCTCATCAGAATTGTGAATATCATTTTCAAGAGACTTCAGAAAGGTATAACTAAGATGCTTATGTAATGAGTTTTCTGCTTGTTCATATTCGGAACTGGCCTCGTGAATAAAGACAGGGACGATGGCCCTCAAAAAAAAAAAAAGATTCAGCTCTGGCCTAATGCTGACCAGGGTGAGCACTGTGATGGCAGCTGGGGACAAGTTCGCGAACAGGTAAACACCTGTGAGAATCTGAAAATGACCCCACTCCTGGGACAAAATGAGGACAGAAGATTCGTTGCAGGATCCACAGCCTCCCTGGGGCCAGCAAGCAGCTCACTCCTTCTGTTCCCCAGACCCCTCCATGGTGACTCTGCAACCAAGGAGGGGGGTGCTGGTGAGAGGCCATGGACACTCAGGGAGTGGTGGAACCAGGGCAGCCCTTTGGTGATCCGTGTGCTGAGGAAGATCATGACCCTGCAGCTATGGGGGCAGCACATGAGGCAGAATCCCAACTCGTCAATCTGCAGCCTCCAGTTCTGTAACTGCTCACACTCAGCAATGACGTGTGCTGCCTGCTGGGCCAGCCAGACCTCCAGGGCTCACAGCTCCTTGAAGCTGAAAGGCAAAAATCCCGTCATGACACAACCCCAAAGAATCACAGGGAACTGCTCCCCACAGTTCCTGTCCATCAGAGGGATCAGCCCCACAGGCAGTGCCTGATGCCCAGGTCCCTGAATGGTGAACTGTGCAGAGGGTAGGGACAATGAATAGCCCCACCCCACTCCCCTAGGAAGGTCACTCTTCATCCTCCTTGGCCATCCAGCTGTCCTCCCATGACCGTCACTGCACCTGTGCAGAAGACTCCCTGGGAACCACATGCCTGGTGGGTTCACAGATGGGCTCACCCCACACCTGAATTCAGTGCTCACCATATTGCCTACCCAGACATCCATGTCCTGACACAGGTTCACACCCAGGGCACATAGGCACCCACGCTCCAGGTTCACCCTGAGGAAGCAACGGCATGCATATATCCATGGTCAGCACACAATGGGCACCACTGAAGACTCAGCCAGCATCACCCTCAGCAGCAGCCCAGAGAGGCCAGGGCCACCCACCTGGAAGCAAATGTCCCCAAGTCAGCAGGACACGCAGAGCTGGATCCACCCAGCTCTGCCAAACATGCCTCCTGTCTAGAAAATGATCCCCAGGTCAGGCAGTTACTGGACACAGTGGTCCTCTAACTGCCACAGAACACAGAAAGAGGGGGCTCTGGGTAATGGAAGCATTGTGGAGTTCTAGCATCCCTGTCCCAGTGGTGCCCTCCCAGGTCAGGAGGGCTGAGTGTCAGCCTCCTCAACCTCAGAGTAGACAAAATCCCCTATAGGGGGCAGCTGTGGTCTTTCCAAGGCTCACGAAAGAGGGAAGAACTGTGGCAAATGTGC